GTTTGGATTGTTGTATTTTCATTTTCATTTGTTTCCATATATTTTTAAATTACTTCTCTAATTGCCTGATTGGCCCATTCATTCTTTAGTAAGGTGTTTTTTAACCTCCATGTTTTGGGAGGTTTTCTAGACTTTTTCCTGTGATTGATTTCAAGTTTCACAGCATTGTGATCTGAAAGTATGCATGGTATGATCTCGATCCTTTTATATTTATTGAGGGCTGCTTTATGTCCCAGTATGTGATGTATCTTGGAGAATGTGCCACGCACACTTGAGAAGAAAGTGAATCCATAGCCTCAGGATGTAGAGTTCTAAATATATCTTTCAGATCCATCTGGTCCAATGTGTCATTCAAGTCCATTGTTTCTTTAGTGATTTTCTGTCTAGTTGATCTATCCATTGTTGTAAGTGGAGTATTAAAGTCCCCTGCTATTAGCACATTCTTGATTGTTTCTGTTTGTGATTGTTTTATGTATTTGGGTGCTTCCGTATTCGGTGTGTAGACGTTTATAATTGTTAGCTCTTCTTGATGGATAGACCCTGTAATTATTACATAATGCCCTTTTTCATCCCTTGTTACTGCCTTTACTTTAAAGTCCAGTTTGTCTGATAAGAATATGGCTACTCAAGCTTTCTTTTGACTTCCAGTAGCATGATAGATATTTCTCCATCCTCTTACTTTCAATCTGAGGGTGTCCTCAGGTCTAAAATGAGTTTCTTGTAGACAGCAAATAGATGGATTTTGTTTTTTTTTAATGCATTCTGCTACCCTATGTCTTTTGATTGGAGCGTTTAGCCCATTTACGTTCAGTGTTATTATTGAAAAATATGGGTTTAGGGTCATTGTGTTCTCTGTAGGATTCATGCTTGTGGCGGTGTCACTGGTACTTTATGGTTTTTTTTTTTTTTTTTTTTTTTTTNTTTCTTGTAGGGCTGGTATAGTGGTGACGAATTCTTTCAGTTTTTATTTGGGAAGACTTTTATCTCTCCTTCCATTCTGAATGACAGGCTTGCTGGATAGAGGATTCTTGGCTGCATATTTTTTCTGTTCATCACATTGAAGATTTCCTGCCATTCCTCTCTGGCCTGCCAAGTTTCTGTAGATAGGTCTGTAACCATTCTGATAGGTTTTCCTTTGTATGTTAGGGCCTTTTTATCCCTAGCTGCTTTCAGAATTCTCTCGTCATCCTTATATTTTGCCAATCTCACTATGATATGTTGTGCAGAAGATCAATTCAAGTTACGTCTGAGGGGAGTTCTCGGTGGCTCTTGGATTTTAATGTCTGTTTCCTTCCCCAGAATGGGGAAGTTCTCAGCTATAATTTGTTCAAGGACTCCTTCAGTGGCTTTCCCTCTTTCCTCTTCTAAAATTCCTATGATACGGATATTGTTCCGATTGATTGTATCACTCAGCTCTCGAACTCTCCTTTCATGTTTCTGGATCAGTTTATCTCTCTTTTTCTCAGATTCCTCTGTTTCTATAATTGTATCTTCTAACTCAGGAATAGGTATTCCTCTCTGCCTCTTCAGTCCGTGCATTGGACGCCTCCATTTTATTGTGCACCTCATTTATAGCAGTTTTTAATTCATCGTAACTATTTTTAAGCTCCATACTCATGAGACCCTGGATTCCTAAGAAAATGTATTGTTAAGTTTGTTTGTTTGTTTTCAGAGAGAGAGAGAAATCAAGCAGCGGAGTGGCAGGAAGAGGGAGAGAGAAAATCCCAAGCAAGTTCTGCACTGTCAGCACAGAGCCTGACATGGGGCTCAGACTCATGAAACCATGAAATCATGACTTGAGCAAAAATTAAGAGGTGGATGCTTAACTGACTGATTCACCCAGGTGCTTCCCCTCAAAATTTTTAGCAGGAAGTCACCCTGTTGGGATGGAGCATGTGGCTAGCAAGGTAGATGTGCATGTTCAGCTTACTATTAGGTACCCCAACACCACCCAGCAAAAGTGGGGCAATGACTCATACTGTCTTGTTGCAGACAAATAAAATGAACACTGAGCATCCTCCTTGGCCCTGGTAACACCTTCTCAATGAAAGTGAGCCACCACTTGAACCACATTTTGCCTCCGATGTTGGTGTAATATCACCTTTTCACTAGGCCTCCCAACACCAGGGATTGGAGAAGGAGAAACAGAGTGCCAAGTAGCCCGTCTCCCCACTGCTTAGTTTTGTCTCATTGATGTCAGGTGGGGATGGAGGCTCAATTTCCCACTGGATCCTACTGACATAGGGAGGAAGAGAAAATAGTGCTAACTAGGACTCCATTACGCAGCCTCATTAAATTTTGTTGCTGCTAAGTGTGGATGGAGGCTCAGCTGGCTATTGGACCCAACTGATACCACCCTGGTGGAAGAATCAGAGTATTGCCTACCTTCACCTTCGGGGGGATGAAAAGATCGGTTTCCACCTTAGTTCCACCAACACTACCCTATCAATGGGAATTAGAGTTCTTGCTTGTTCTGCTGGGTGAGGATAGCAGAACAACTGCCTGCTCAGTCCTACTACCACCTAATGAGGAAATCAGTGTACCACCTGTTTACCAGGGTTATGGGTGGGGGATGAGATAAAAGATCAACTTCCTGCTTGTACACACCGAAACCATGTATTGGGAGAGGAGTGTAATTTTTCCATTGGAGTTTGGCTGGAGTAGGGCAGGCATTGCTAAAACCGTTTTCTGTGGTTAGCCTACCCGTTTCTGGGTTCCGTGGTTAGAGGGAACAGGCTTTCCTTGGAGTGTTAGTATGTGCCTAGTGACAGCTTCTAGTTGGAGGCCTCTGCAGTATCCTGTTCAGAATATATGGGAACCTATATGGAAACTTAGAAAACTCACACCATGTCCTGAGATACCCAGGAAGCCTACCTCCTTCTTTCCTTGTTTCAGAGATTTTAGTTGTGATGGGAAGGATCTAGAAGGAATGGGACTATTCCACCTTGGCAAAACTGAAGTCTCTTCATTTTAATATAAAACTTTTGAATATTTGTAGGTTCCTTTAGCACTAATATTTAATTTCTCAATGCTTTTATAGTAACACTTTTTTGCCCTTTATTTAAAAAATTGTTTAATTTTTTTTCTTTTTGAGAGAGACAGAGACAGTGCAAGCAAGGGAGGGGAAGAGAGAGAGAAAAATACAGAATCAAAGCAGGCTCCAGGCTCTGAGCTGTCAGCACAGAGCCTGACGCAGGGCTCAAACTCATGGACTGTGAGATCATGACCTGAGCCAAAGTTAGATGCTTAACCAACTGAGCCACCCAGGTGCCCCCCCCCTTTTTTTTTACTTTAAAGAGTAGTATTACCAGATTACAGATTTGTGAAGGTAATTTGGGATGTCCTTACGCTAGGACTTACTGGGTGATCTCATCTTGATTCCTATTTTATTGGTATAAATGAAAGCTGTTCTTTCTCTTATTAGCTACCATGGCTCTTTCTAATGCCATCATAATTCTCTTTTTCCTTTATCCTTTATTTATCTTTTCTTCTATATATATTTTAAACTTATCAGCTTTTGTATATAAATTATATAAATATTGTGTATATGTTTTTGTGTTTCTAACAGAGAAGTTACAGGGTTTTAGCCGAGTTGAATATACCATTCCCCACATGAGTCTTTGACAGCCTCAAATCCAGAGTCTTGGGAAGTTGAGGCATGCAGTTCCTCACATCCACAGGTGGCCTTTGGCCTTGGCTACAAGTGTTCTAGAGGGGATCAGGAATAAAGGATACCTGCGAGTAAAAAACTATAGAGTATAATTTGCCTAACACTACCAACACCTTTATGGGGCTGTCACAAAGCAGTTGGTAGAAAGAAACCACTAGTGATAACAGCAAAGAGCCAAATCTATGTGGCAAACAGACAAAATATAACATTTATCAGGTGACTACTTTGTACTACTGTGCCAGGTGCCAGAAGATAGAAAGATAAGTAATAAATACCTTGCCCAATGTAGGAAAGACTGTAGTCAAATATCCTATAAAGGAAAGGATATTTCTTTGGTGGTAATACACTAAATCACCTAAAGTGCCACAGCTCATATGTAGTCAAGCTTAATCTGAAGCTAGTTGTCAAATCATCTTTAACTGTCAATTCTACTTTGCCTATGCCTACTGTACTTTGTAAATTTATCTCACTTAGAACAATTAAGTTACTATATATATAATGGTTTACTCCAACTGAGTCTTTTCTGCTACCTCACTATAAGGTCTTTTAAGTCAAGAGCTATATACTGTTCATTTTTGTATCCGTAGCTCCTGGCACATAGTAGCTGTTCATTCAGAAAGTATTTGTCAAGTGCTTAGGTTCCACACACTGTTCCAAATAACAGGAATATAAGACACAGAAGCTCACAGCTCTAAATATGCTTATGTTCAGGTAGAGAAGATGGACAACTATGATTAAGGATGGTACTATACTGACATTTAGGAGACGGTTTGCACTTTGCTTAGAATCTCTAAGTAAGCCCCTTGGAGACCCTTATGGCTATAAATTTCTGACATATTTATCTTCATCAAAATATTTTGAGTTAGGTAGACATAAAAAAATCTATAGCTCATTGATTTTATCACAATATGAACTGTTTAAATGGACTTAGTAATGCTATTGTCATGAGGGTTAAGTTCAATTTAACCAACACAATGCAAGTTGTATGTGCAAAGCACTGGAAAATATTTTACATATATTATCTCACTGAATCATCACTTTTGGTTAAAAAGGCCTTTCATTACAGGACACCAGAATAGCTCTGTCAGTTAAACGTCTGACTTTGGGTCAGGTCATGATCTTGCAGTTTGTGAGTTTGAGCCGTGTGTTGGGCTCTGTGCTGACAGCTTGGAGCCTGGAGCCTGCTTCGGATTCTGTCTCCCTCTCTCTCTGCCCCTCCCCACTTGTGCTCATGGGTGCGTTCTCTCTCTCTCTCTCAAAAATAAGTAAAAAACCCCACAATTTTTAAAGGCCTTTCGTTACCCATGTCTACTCTCCCTTTCCTTCCCAGATCCCTGTGAAGCACAGTTTTCACAGAATGTTCCCAAGTCACCCTGTGTGTTCATCTGGTATGGCATATTATAATTTTCTGTTTACTTTTCTGCCAGCTACATTCAGTAATATATTTTTGTTTACTCAAAATCAGGGGAACAGGAGAAGATGGTTGATCATACACACTCTAGGGTTAAATCTCAACTCCCTTACTGTGACATTGTGCAATTTAACCTCACTGAGCCTCAGTTTCCTCATCTGCAAAATATAAATAACAACACCTTCTTTGTTGTGAGGATTAAAAAAATAATGAGCATAAAAGACTTAATATGGTACCGTATCTTATCATTAATTATTAATTATCATGGTGCCTGCTATCTAGTAGGTATTCAATAGATGTCTTATAATTAATCCCCTTTTAACCTTTAGTTAATAGTGAAAAGACTGGTGTCAGAATTCAAGTCTTCTGAACCAAAATCTTTGTAGATGATTTGTAGATATTATGCCATTGTTTTTCTAAATAAAAGTTTAGGCCAGTAATCAGATGGGATTTTTGTGCTAATTTTAGATGCATGCATCAGTCTGGATGAAGTAGTCTGAATTTCAAAACATTAAAATATCCAGTATATTTTAATGGCTTATTAGAACTGGATTGAATATTAGAATCAGTAATGCCTTGGATGGTTGGGATTGTTACCTTTAAAATAATTAAAGCTTTTCGCATGGAATTCAACATATTCATATACTAAATTTTACTATCTACAAAAGAGTATTAGTATGGGGTTCCCATGTCTTGGATTAAGGAGTCACTCATTAAAAATTACAAGGAAAGGCACTTTGATTCTTGTCCCTTGTGAAAGATGACTCTTACCTACTGAATGTAAAATATGAAGTAGACCAAAATTTTCTTTCTCTTCTCACCTTCCATGTTAGTATTTCTTTCTTGCTTGGTGGTCCCAAGCCACACAACCTCAGTTCCATTTCTGCAATACTTACTACTGTTTTCAAGATGCAGACAAAGGAAACCAGTATAATTGATTTCAAGTATTAATGGACAAAAGAGATGAGGAGATTGGCTTCTTTAAAAGTATTCATATCAAAATAGATGAGCAGAGGTGGTCTATGCTTCCCTAGTACTATTGTGAATTGCCCATTAAGCAGTAGATATATGGGTGGAGGCAGAAGTAAGGAATTCAAAAGTGTAGCCTGTTAAAGTTAATATTATATTTATAGTGCTTTATTAATAATTTATAGATTTATAATAAACTATGATAAATATGATGAATTTTATTTATAACAAATTCATAATAATAATGTATATGTTTTCTTGATGACAGAATATCAGTAAATATTAATTAAATAATGTAAAATATTAATGATTTTTAAATGATCTATCAATCTACTTACTGATTTTCCTTTTTTGTTTGAATTTTGTGGTCCATAGAACTTATCTTGCATTAACCTATCTGAAAAAGAATGGAAAAAAAAGATTATATAAACAAGTTGGCACTTGTGGCATTTGACAAACACAATCTACAGGCATGTCTTTAACTAATGATGGTGTAGCATAGCAATTAAGAGCACAGGCTCTGGAACCAGACTGCTTGGATTCAAACGGTCTCTCTCCATCTAACTTTGGACAAGTTATTTTGCCTTTCTCTGTCTCAGTTTCCTCATTTGTCAAGAGATAAAGATCCTCTACCATAAGGCATGTGGTTTAAAGGGTTAAAGCATCTAACACTGGTCTGGAACATAATAAGCACAAAATGAATGCAAGTTTTGTTATTTTTGTTACTATCACTACTGCCCCCTTTGCTCTGACTCCTTACACATTATAACCTTGGGTCTGTCACCTAATATATCCAATTACTATTTTCAGTAGTATTGTTAAAATGTATATATTAACTGATTAAAATTAAATGTCACCATGGTCTATATTTTTATGTACATAAAAGTGTCTTTTAGTTCGATGACAGTAAATGTTTGTTTGTAGTACTTCTATTTTTCTGATTCTTAATGCTAGTTCAAAGAATAAAGTAAAAACTAAATAACAAACAAAACCTCATAACTGCACTCTAGATGGTTCTGAATGTTTTTGTGGGTGTTAAATTTTATGCACATTATTCAAAATTGTATTTGACTGGATGTTTAGAAGATTTCTTTTACTCATCCTCCTTGGAACCTCATTTTAGCATATTCTCTAGCAGTCATTTGGGTAATCTTCCATCATACATTTACTACACATACCCAAATCTATAAAGTTGTGTAAACAATCTACATTCTAGATACCTTTCATGAATAATAATTCTGTATTTCCTCAAGAATTCATGACCCTGGAAGGAATCTCATGAAATAAACTAAAAGAATTTATTAAGTATGGAATAGAACAATGATAGTCTTTAATGATTGGTGGCCCTAGGCTGAGATATATGTTGCACAAATACAGATACTTATATAAGGGAGTGAGAGGTATCTATGAAAGCAGTTCCAAAGTAATGGAGCCAGGCAAAATCCTCTAATTTGTTTACAAAAAATAATAATAAATCAAGGAATTCAATAAGAGTGAATAAAAACTGCATTTTATTTCAATTATTTATTTTAATAAAAGCAAAACTAACCTATGCTTTTTATTTTTTCAAGTTTTATTTAATTCCAGTTAGTAAACATACAGAATAGTATTCGTTTCAGGTGTAAAATTTAGTGATTCATCACTTACATACAACACCCAGGGCTCATCACTTCTGCTGCTTTCCTCAACCCATCACCCATATAACCTAGACACTCCAGCAACCCTCAGTTGTTCTCTATAGTTAAGAGTCTTTTCCTGGTTTGCCTATCTTTTTTCCCCACACATATGTCCATCTGTTTTGGTCCTTAAATTCCACACATGACTGTAATCATTTGGTATTTGTCTTTCTTCTGACATTTCACTTAGCATAATACATTCTAGTTCCATTCACATTGTGGCAAATGGCAAGATTTCAGTCTTTTTGATCACCAAGTAGTATTTCATTGTGTGTGTGTGTGTGTGTGTGTGTGTGTGTATGGACATAGGCTCTTTCCATAGTTTGGCTATTGTTGATAATGCTGTTACAAACATTGTGGTACATGTATCCATTCAAATCAATCTTTTTTATTTCTTTGGGTAAATACCTAGTGGTGCCATTGCTGGATCATAGGGTAGTTCTATTTTTAACTTTTTGAGGAACCTCCATACTGGTTTCTGGAGTGGCTGCATTAGTTTTCATTTCCACCAACAGTGTAAGAGGATTCCCCTTTATATGCATCCTTGCCAACACCTGTTGTTGCCTGCATTATTCATTTTAGCCATTCTGATAGGTGGCAGGTGGTGTCCCATTATAGTATTTCCCTGATGCTGAGCATCTTTTCATGTGTCTGTTGGTCATCTGTATGTCTTCTTTGGAAAACTGTTTATGCCTTCTACCCATTTTTTTAAATGTTTATTTTTGAGAGACAGAGAGGTAGAGCACAGATGGGGGAAGAGCAGAGAGAGAGGGAGACACAGAATAGGAGCTGTCAGCACAGAGCCCAACATGAGGCTAGAAACTACGAACTGTGAGATCATGACCTGACCCCAAGTCAGGCACTCAGCTGTCTCCCTTTCATCCATTTTTAATTGGATCATTTAGTTTTGGGGTATTGGGTTGTAGAAGTTCTTTATATACTTTGGATACTAACCCTTTATCAGATATGTCATTTGCAAATATCTTCTCCCGTTCTGTAGGTTGCCTTTTAGTTTTGTTGATTGTTTCCCTCACTGTGCAGAAGATATTTATTTTGATGAAGTCCTAATAGTTAATTTTTGTTTTTGTTTCTCTTGTCTCAGGAGATATATCTAGTAAGAAGTTGCTACAGCTGATGTCAAAGAGGTTACTGCCTCTGTTATCTAAGATTTTAATGGTTTTCTGTCTCATATTTAGGCTTTTAATCCATTGAGAATTCAATTTGTGGGTGGTGGTAAGAAACTGATCCAGTTTCATTCTTTTGCATATTGCTGTCCAGTTTTCCCAATACCATCTGTTGAAGAGACTATCTTTTTCCCATTGGACATTCTTTCTTGCTTCGCCGGACTAAATGACCATACAACTGTGGGTTCATTTCTGGGTTTTCTATTCTGTTCCGTTGATCTATGTGTCTGTTTTTGTGTCAGTACCAGTACCATACTCACTGTCTTGATGATTACAGCTTTGTAATATAACTTGAAGTCCGGAATTGTGATGCTTCTAGTTTTGCTGCTTTTTCAAGGTGGCTTTGGCTATTGGGGTCTTTTAAGGTTCCATACAAATTTTAGGATTGTTCTAGCTCTGTGAAGAATGCTGGTGGTATTTTATTTTATTTTATTTTATTTTATTTTTTTTTACAAATAGTTTATTGTCAAATTAGTTTTTACATAACACTCAGTGCTCATCCCCAAAGTGCCCTCCTTCATGCCCATCCCCCCCTCCCCCCCACATCCATCAGTCCTCAGTTTTTGTCAGCATTCAAGAGTCTCTCATGGTTTGCCTCTCTCCCTTTCCCCCACCATTTCCGCCCTTCTTCTCCCCCTTGGTCCTCCGTCAAGTTCCTCCTAATCCTCCTATACGTGCAAACATATGGTATTTGTCCTTCTCTGCCTGACTTATTTCGCTCAGCATTGCTGGTGGTATTTTAATAGGGTTTGCATTAAATGTGTAGATTGCTTTGGGTAGCATGGATATTTTAACAATATTTGTTCTTCCAATCCTGGAGCATGGAAGGATTTTCCATTTCTTTGTGTCATCTTCAATTTCTTTCATCAGTGTTTTATAGTTTTCAGAGTACAGGTCTTTCACCTGCACTTTGGTTAGGTTTATTCCTAAGTATATCTCATGGTTTCTGGTGTAGTTTTAAATGGAATCGGTTCCTTGATTTCTCTTTCTGCTACTTCATTATTGATGTATAGAAATGCAACAGATTTCTGTATGCTGGTTTTGTATCCTGTGACATTAGTGAATTTGTATATCAGTTCTAGCAACTTTTGGGAGAGTTTTTGGGTTTTCTATGTAGAGTATCCTGTCATTTGCAAATAGTGAAAGTT